TTGTATATATACATATAGACAGAGGTTCTTACTTTACTCAGCCGGGTACACAATGACTGATGCACCAGTGGCTGCAAGGCGCATACTAATTTTGCCAGTGAATCAGTATGCTTATGGCCAGTATTGTGTGGAATGAAGCATACAGTTCACAGGTCACAGAAGGTGTTAAAATTGCTGTCCCCCTACATGTAGCCATTCTTTGCAGCAGCAGAAGTCATTCTGATTAACCATTAAACGGACGAATGTTTTATATATCTACAGCAAGAAGCACCCCGTGTTGGCCAAATGTTATATATAAGACTCATTCTCACTTTGGTAGTGCTGACAGTTTGATCTTGGGTTTGAAACCAAAACAAATTCCTGCAAGTTCATGTCAGTGGTTCATTCGTTAGCTCTGAACAATGAAATTGTTTATCACGCTACTGTTTATGATACTATTTATATTTAGATATGACTGTTTATGGTGTCGGCAGCCAAATAGAGCCCAGCTTTGTTTTGAGAACTGAGGAGTAAATATTCATCTGTGCTCGCATGTTAGTGCTTCCAGAGCTTTCAAGGAAATGTGATGTATTGAAAGATTGGTTTTCAGTAACGAATTATTAGGTGGGAAGTCAGTGTTGGATTATCATATATTTCTTTATCAGTTGGAAAGTCAGTGTCAGACTGTCATATTGTGACATGTTGAGCAACGGAGAACCCCCCCCACCAGCAGTGACGCGGCGGTGTTTCAGCGCTCCCCCCCCTCCGCACGGTAACGTAACGCGCGGTGACGTAACAGGATGGCGTGGCACTCATTACGCAACAGGCAAGCACTGCGGCTATATAAGGGAACTGCACAGCAGCTGCGAGTTAGTTGTAATGTGGCTACCGCAGAGTTAAATAGTAGACGAGTGAGTGTGTTATCAACAGTTCTCAAGGCAGCAGCCTGCGAGTTGAGTTGAAATCTAGCCATCAGAGAGTTCCGAGTTAGCCAGCAACCAGTCAGTTGTATTCTGGCAATTGGAGTGTAGTATTTGTGATACTGCAGATAGCAGTAATTGTGAATCTGTAATTTGGGTGATTGTAAGTGCAAATGTGAAATAAAATTCGCTATATCAAATACGGCGTACAGTTATTTGTCACGTTATACACCCAATACGTGACAATATATTTCTTTATATATTGTCACATGTTGGGAATGTAACGTGACAAATAACTTCATGACATACTGAATATAGCGAATTTATTCCACATTGGCTCGCACACTTATACAGTTTACAATTACTGCCTCTGGTAGTATCACAGTTACTTCCAGTGCTCTCGGCAACTTCACGATCCACATGATCCACACTGTATCACTCCTGATCACACACTGCTCACATACTGCTCAGCCGGCTTCTCATACCATTCCCTGTTGCCGCATGTTAACGGCTGTGTCCTTTGTTACATTACAGTGAGAAGTGCTGTTACGTCACCGTGGGGGGACAGTGGAGTGTGTGCTGGCCTGTTACCATAGCAGCTGCATTTGCTTTGACACCTTTACGCCACTGCTGGAGGGGAGGTGTCGTGCATAGCGCAAATACATCACAATATTTTATTCAGTGTCTTGGAAGAGGTATAAACCCATTTGGTCTGTATTACTTTGTGAGTGAAACACATCTTCGTCACTGTGACTTCCAGTATCAGTGTCGGCCTGGCACACTTTCTGACTAATAATATTGTGACATGTTGACCCCTACCTCCCCAGCTGCACGTAGCGGTAAAGTAACGCTCACGTTACTACGGTAATAGGCGAGTTCCCGCCCCGCCACTCCCCTCCGCGGTGACGTAACGCGCAACGCTACGTACCCGTAATCAACTTCCTACTGTGACGTGGCACTCATTACGCAACCGGCAAGCACTGCAGCTATATAAGTGAGCTGCACAGCTGGTACCAGTCAGTT